GGAATTGGAGCGTTTTTTCGAATCTTTTGAAATTTCAGTAACAATTTTTAAAATTCTGACCCTTTGACAGCGTTGTAATATAAAATATTCCAAAGCAGGCTGTACTAGATCACTATGGTCAGAGAAAAAACTGAGCACAACAGGATAGAATCAATGGAAGGACTATGTCTCCAGAGAACTTTAGTACCATTCTTTTTCCCTTTCAGTTGATTTCTAAGAAAATGGCAGCCTTTTTAATATTTTTTCAAAATATTGTGAAATTAATTAATTTGCAGCAATACCATGTTTGTCCGATAATAAAACAGTACCAAGTGCACCAAACATAATATCATAGGTAAATCAAAATAATGTAGCTATGGAGCCTAATTTTTTAGACCGTTGTAAAACTGCCAAATGTGAAATAAAAGAAATAATAATTGGCATGCTCTACCAAAGTGTTTCGGCTTTCTGGTATAACATGCCTTTGTAGTGCTGACATCTCTGCTTTTTTCCTTGGTGTTCGTGTGTTCAAATCTTAAGTTAAATTTAAGGTTGGGTAGAATAAATATTTAATTAAATACTTTCCCGATTATTTTAGCGGTTGAACAAGCATACAACAGGAATTCAGGATTTGTTTTCATTCACAACTCAGAGTTGCCGCCTCCAGTGCCAGTAAGATTTTTGTGACTTGTGTGAGTGTGATATCTCCAGGCCCTATCTGGTTCCATTTCACTTTGATTACCCTGTCAAACAAGTCAGCCTTCGCCCCTGGTCAAAAGCATTTCACCGGATACGTCATTCAAAGTTCTATAGTTCTCCGCCAATGAAAAGATGTCACTTAAGCATCAAACTTTACGCAAAGCATTCAAAAGCTTGGATGTCAATTTTTTTAAACCAGCCGACCTCGCAATCCGACCGCAAGGGGCTTTGCTTTTCATGGCGATTCAAATACACAAACAACACACACCATTGTAATGAGGAAAGGCTGAACGTTTTCATGGTGTAGGGTATACGGTGTTTAATGCTACAAGGCAAAGAAACAGTGACCTAAATTACCGTGATCTCACTGAAACTACGCGCTCAAAGCACTATGAGTCCACTTGCGTGCCATGTTATGTTTGGGGTTGTTGTTTGGGTGGGGGGGGTAATTGGGGGGGGGGGAGTGTTTCACAGCGGTCGCAACTGCACAAGGTCATATGAGCGCGCGGGACAAATGAAACATTTTCAGTTGATTGGAAATTTTGAATTTTACCCGGGTGGCGGCCGAAGCCTTCTCATATTGATTTTGGACCACCAAGGGATCCTTAATGTGCAAAACTTGCATATGGGACCTCCTAGATTTTTCACCCTTGTCTCCGAGAAGGCTAGGGGTAGATCTTACCAACCATAAGATCAGGGGTGCGGCTGATGACTCTCAGGAGGAAACAAAAGGCCTGTGGTCCTAGATACCAACAACCCGTTCATGAATGGTTGTGACCGAGCAGCTCATCTTTGGGTTCCACCAATGAAAATATTTTTTAAGTGGAGGAAGAAGCTTTCCTTTTGGATTGTGGACATCATAATCATGAACGCAAATATCATCTTCAAGTTGACAAGTGAACAACCTCCGACAAAGTGACAGCAGTGATATCTGATGATCGCTGGCTACAAAAAGCCCTCACTGGACAACTCTAAACTAGGGAAGAGCAGCTGGGCAATCTGATGAGTGGAGAAGTGAGGAAACAAAAAGAGGAACATCACTAGACCAACTGCCACTGCAAGAGCCTTGGGAAACAATTGGTGGGTTATCCCCATTTTGATTATTGCACTGAATGTCTAACAATAAATATTTTTAAAAATAACCAAACTATTGTCAAAAGAGCAGATGAGGACAGTTGTGAATCAAAATAGAAAGGGTTACAACAGTAACCTGTGCTCACTGACCTCCAATATTTCTGTCACAAAATTGGCAAAGGGGAACTAATATTACTTTTTTCAGACCTAGGGAGTACAAACAAAACACAAAGACCACTACAACAAATGAAATCTTAAATAGTCATACTTACTGTCACTATATCTAATGAAACCTTAGATAGTCATACTTACTGCCAAGGTTTTTCGAATGCAGTTCTTTGAATATCTTGGTAACGCCTTCGAAAAATCTTATGATTTTGATAGAGCAGAAAGAGCTTTTGATTTCTGATTTCATGGTCTAAGTAACTCAAAATGGCCAAAAATGTCAGATAAAACTTTGTCATTCTGAGGTAGCAACTTATTCGCTACAAACTCTCTGTTGTTTATTTTTTTAATGCTGGCGTTTTTTTACACCCCCATCGACACAAGTTAGATCAATTAGGAGGCAGACATCTGACCCTGCCTGTCAGGGCCAACCGGGGCTGAGAAGGATAGAACATCCCAGCAAAAAGACAGAGGGATATATGACAATTTCCTCTGTACTTTCTCTACAATAGAGCACCTTCTTTATACATGTACCTATCTATTGGCCAAAGGAAAAGCTTTGCCACAACAAAACTTTAACAATTCTCCATAGAGTAGGAGCCACTGTT